AGATAGGAGTCTCACGGTCTTTCCTGCCCAGGCTGGCTTTGAACCGCGATCCTCAGATCTCAGCCTCCTGAGTAGCTAGGATTACAGGTGTGAGCCACCAGCGCCCGGCTCTAGTCAGTGTTTTTAACTACTCTGTTTTACCTCAGGCCTTGTGGTTTGACTTTGTAATTATTATTTCATGTCTAGCTTCTTTCTACTTCAAAGGGCACAAATAGAAACAAGGGTCAAGCCTAGTATAACCAATTTACCAGTGCCATGTGTTTCTAGTCAGTTTGTTGTTTGGCTATGAGACATAGTACATAATGTCTGCTTAAGTTTACTTTGCTTAAAGTTTGATTTTCATTTGGAGGTATTCCCAGTATGAAAGAAATTCCCATGGAAATATACATTTCAGTGTGTTCTGTTTTGGAAAAAAAAATGCTGTTCTAACTTAGGATAGTAGAGAACAAAATGAATTAAAGTCATTTTTACAATACTTGCTAAAAAAATTCCTTTTCTCATGTTTAACTTGTGTTTTAAGTATAGCAAAAACCAGGATTATGAGCTGGGGAATTGGAGGACCTGGGTCATTAGGGAGCCCACACTGCTGGATAACACAGCCCAATAGATGCTGACAGATTGCTTTGAGTTTATTCAAGCAGCCTGAGCCAGTGCTCTGATTTCGGGACAGTATTCCGCTATGTGGCAGTATGAGGATGAATACCTTTGCTCTACCATTCTTTAGGGGCTTTGTGGTTCATGGCACTTTGGAGAAAACATAGGTATCTGGCCATACCTACCTGCCTAGGCAGGTGGGAACCTTGACTGGAATGATGCCCAGGAAGGGAGAAGAGAGAACTAGATGACTGCATAGCTGCACCACGGCAGAGGATAGGGTTGACTGTAACAGTGGTAATAGAAGATGGCTGAAAGCAAGTGTTAGTGAGAATGTATTTCCTCTGGAGTAAGGGACATTACTTGAAAAAGAAGCAGCTATTAAGTGTTTATAGGCTTCTGGGCCACAGATGGTTACAAGTTCTTTGCTTTTCCTTTCCCCCCACTATCGTTATTATAAAGGCAATATACAGAGGGGTTAGAGTTACATAAATGAGGTAATAAATACATTCTTTTGGATAATGTCATTCTTTCCCTTGCTCTCTCCCAGTGTCTTAACCATTCTTGACAGATAAGCTGTGCGGGCTGAGTTAGATGTTTGCCAACTTCTGTTCTTTATTATAATTGATGATCAGTCTTTTATAAATCTTATATTTAATAAATTTCCTTTATAAGGCTGAGATCTTTGCAGTTTCTACTTGAAATAGGTGAATTCTAGCATGACTTTTCAATTCTGAGATAAATTCTGATAGGCATTTGATTTCAGATTTGATTAGATTTTGTTTTGTTTAGTCTTTGTTTTGAGACAGAGTCTCAGGGAAGTGCAGGCTAACTTTAAACTTAAGGTTCTTCTGGCTCAGCCGCCTGAGTCCTGAGATTACAGACATGCACCACCATACAGGCCAGGGTGTGTGTGTGTGATTTAATTCATAATTTTTTCATTATGTTTTGCTTCTTGTATAGGATTATGAGAAATACAGATTTGCTCCGACCTAAGATTTTTGTCCTGTATTTCTAACTATGTTCAATTTTCTTACTTCATGTAGAAGGAACATTAGTTTACCAGAAATTGGATTTTCAGACTGTTGCATACTGATGGAAAGGAAGGTCGATAGGTATTGTGGGAAAGGTTTCTTTTCAGACTGTTACTTTGCTGACATATTTAAATAAATGAACTGAACTGCCAATCTTAACATGTGCTAGGAGTGGCATTTCCACCATCAGCTTTGAAGACAAGATGTACTGATTGAGGGTTTTGCTGTTTTAAATAAGAGCTGTTGTGCTTGTTTATAACCTTGAGGACTAGTACAGGTTAGTATTTACTTTGAATTCATAAACAAATTAGCTTTACATAGTCTCATGTTATAGAACACTATGCTACAACGGCTATTTTAGTTATCTTAAGTATGGGGAAGAATGATAAAAATACACTTTAAAAAGATGACAATTTTAAAAAAAGAATTTGCTAGTAAATAAGCAGCTGTGTTATTCCAGCAGAAGTATTGCAGAAACTACTTTGTGTCCTCCAACGAGGAAGGACTTGTTCCTCTTCGTAGGAGTGGAAACCAACTGTCCCCCTTTTCCCTCCATTGGAGTTATCTTTTAGCATCATTTTGTCTTTTTTCTGGAGGCCCAAATGGCATGGTGATGTTTTTGGTTTGCCATTTCCCATAAACCTGTCAAGCATAGAATCATTTAGGTCTAAGGTTATTACCACTGACCTTCCCCATGAAATTGTTTTCTTCCTAGAAAGTACCAGCACAGTTGCTCCAGTTCTCACTCCAGTTGCTGCTTACCTCACTAGTAGAGAGGCCTTCAGGTTGTTTGCCAGGCAGGCCTGCAGAGTGCCCTCCTTTTCACCTTAGGCAGAGAGCTTGCCTGCTAGTGTGGCTATTGCTATTTGTGCCATGAGTTGTGTTTGCCTGGCATGTTCTATGATGTCATCTACACAAAATTAGAGGATGTAGCTGGGCGCCAGTGGCTTACGCCTGTCATCCTAGCTACTCAGGAGGCTAAGGATCACGGTTCAAAGCCAGTCCCGGCAGGAAAGTCCATGAGACTATTATCTCCAATAAACCACTAGAAAACCCAGAAGTGGTGCTGTGGGCTCAAGGAGTAGAGTGCTCACCTTGAGCTGAAGAGCTGAGGGACAGCGCCCAGGCCCAGAGTTCAAGCCCCACGACCGTCAAAAAAAAAAAAAATTAGAGGATGTCATCTACACAAAAAAAGAGGAAAGAGCCATGATTCCCACTATGTCTCCCACTATGAGCCTTGTACCATCCTACGGAACTTCCTGTTGAGCAAGTCATTGTAAGTCTGGATTAGGTGAGCTGCAGCCGCTGCTTATTCCTCAGCACGTCTTGGGCCCCTTGCTGTAATGATTATAAACATATTGCCATGTTTCATTGAGAGTATTAAAATGTTCTCAAGCAGAAGTGGTTTATAATGTTTTTCACATTTCATAGTATTTTATTTGAAACTTACAAGGAGCTTTTTTTCTTTCTTTTTTTTTTTTTTTTGCGGGTTGTGGGGCTTGAACTCTGGGCCTGGGCGCTGTCCCTCAGCTCTTCAGCTCAAGGCTAGCGCTCTACCACTTGAGCCACAGCGCCACTTCCGGCTTTTTTCTTTTTCTTTTTTTTTTTGCCTATGTGGTGCTGAGGAATCGAACCCAGGGCCTCATGCATGCAAGGCAAGCACTCTGCCCCTTAGCCACCAGCTAGGGAGCTTTTTTGAGCTTCCTTAAAATGCTTTTCTTTTTTGTTGTGGGGCATGAGCTCAGGGCCTGGGTGGTGTCCCTAAGCTTTGTTGCTCAAGGCTAGTGCTTTACTACTTGGAGCCACAGCACCACTTCTGGTTTTGAGGTGGTTAATTGCTTTGTTGCTTAAGGCTAGCTAGTGCTTTATCACTTTAAGCCACAACTGTTTTTGAGCCACAATCCTCAGATCTCAACCTCCTGAATAGCTAGGATTATAGGTGTAAGCTGCCCACATCTGTCTACTGCTGCTTTTTTAAATTATTAGATTAATCATGTGACTATCAGTATAAATAAAATTTGTCCTGTGTGATCTCTATTTTTTAAAAAAATATTTTGAGGCAGGTTTAAGAGTACATTTCCAATATGGGTGGATTTAGCAAAACATGTGTGCTTTATATAGGTTCCAATCTTCCTTCCTTTAACCAGGGATTTAGTAAGTAGCATGTGAATGATAACAGTAAGAGACACTGGGCTGACAGTGAAGCTGTCACTGAAGGAGAGTTTTGATTGGGCATGTCAAAGTATCACTATCTTACCACATTCTAGCTCAGGAATTCTGCAGTGAGCCTCTTTGACAGCTCTAGAATGACCTGATGGGTTCTGTTCCTACTGAGGACTTACACTTGATGCTGTCATCTTGTCACCAGTGGTCAGAGATGGCCTTTGAGATACTCTCATTATGACAGCCTTTAGATGAAACAGTAGACCTGCTATTCATGCTTATTTTCATTTGGAACATAACTATCTTCTATAGCTCTGTAACTTGTTGAAAGTGGGGAAGATAAAGTTGAGGAAAGAACATGTATGTCACACTGGGGGTGATTGCTTTAGATTTGACTGTCAAAATAACCAGGGAGAATATGTTTCTCTAAATTTCAGTGTTAGATTCCAGTTTATAAATACCTTTATTAAGAATGGGACAGGCTTTACTATTGTATGGTATTAGGCTTTTGAGAATGAAAAAGCTAAAAGAGCTAGTTTGAAGTGGCCATTCACTTCCTTTGTATTCCACAAAGAGTTCCAGATAGACCTTATTAGTTGCTAAAGACAGTAATTTTATGAAGAATATGTTCTGGGCCAGGTGTCGGTGGTTTACACCTATAATCCTAGTTACTCAGGAGGCTGAGATCTGAGGATCACGGTTCAAAGCCAGTCGGAGCAGGAAAGTCCATGAAACTCTTATCTCCAATAAACCACCAGAAAACCAGAAGTGGCCTGTAGCTCTTGTGGTGGAGTGCTAGCCTTGAGCTGAAGAGCTGAGGGACAGCGCCCAGGCACAGAGTTCAAGCCCTATGACCGACAAAAAAAAAAAAAAAAAGAATATGTTCTGTACCCTTCAGAAAAGGGTTATTCTCTGCCTTTTTTTTTCTTCCAGCAATTCTTCAACAAAGCATGGGTCAATTAATTTGGCAAGTTTAAATCATCCTTAATTTTAGCTTTGAACATTTTTGTGTTAACATTTTTTTAACCAATAAAGTATATTTTCTTACAAGTAAAAAAATCATGCAATGTTAGTTATTAAAGAGTTTTGATAGGTTTAAGATGGAAGATATTTTACTTTTATGTGAGCCAAGTTGATTTGCAATTTGAATTATGGGAAATTAATATGTAAAGTTGAAATTATATGAAATACTCTCTGCATTTTGTTTAGACCAGCATGTTTTGGAAATTTGATCTTCACTCATCATCCCACATAGACACACTTCTAGAAAGAGAAGATGTAACACTGAAGGAGTTAATGGATGAGGAAGATGTTTTACAGGAATGTAAAGCTCAGAACCGCAAACTTATAGAGTTTCTGTTAAAAGCAGAATGTCTCGAAGATTTAGTCTCATTCATTATAGAAGAACCACCTCAAGACATGGATGAAAAGATCAGATACAAGTAAGAAAATTCCATCTTCTCTTTAGGGTGGGGACTAAAGTTGGGATAGAAATAATCAGTCCTGACCAAGGATCCCCTAGAGCCACTGCAGCCATTGACAGGACGCTGAGATGATCAAGAGGGGCAAATTTAGTGGGGCACACAGTTCATTCTAGAACTAAACCCATCAGCTAATAGGAATCTGAATTTCAGCCAGAAGATTTCATGGATGGACAGCTTGCTTAGTAAAGTAATGAGCGCCTTCTTTAAATAGCAAGACTACTCAAGTAAGGTAGAAGGCCAGTTGTTATGTGACGGCCCCAAATTGCCAAGCAGGTCTGAGTTGGAGTGTGGATTGTAAATAAGAGAGCATTGCTGATACAAAAAAAACTGACCTTTTTTTTTTAATCTGAAAATTAATGCACAAGTCTTAATGAAATTAGCAAAGCTATATTTAAACAGGAAATGCCACATTAACTAACTATAGTGGATTTTTCTGCTTATCAGTTTAATCTGCTTATAACAGAAAACAATGGTACAGTGAGGAGCTTTTATAACTATTGTTTATAACACCTTTTATGCATACCTTTGGAAAGCCTTAATGAATATTAAGTATATATTATAAAATTTTTATTGTTATTGTTATAAAGGTGATGTACAGAGGAGTTATTATTTCATAAGTCAGGTAATGAGTACATTTCTTTTTGGATAATGTCACACTGATATTAGGTATATTTAAATGGAGGTATTAGCTATTTCTCTAAATCTAGCTCTTCAGTTATTTTCCCCATCTGGTCCTCCAGGATACAGCACCTTCAGGAAAACAATTGGTGCCCAAATCAACTTGATGGAGTAGAAAAACCATGGCCTTTTACTAATGCTTCTTTCACCCCTCCTTCCCAATTCTCACCCTCTTCCTTTTCCCAGGGAGTGATGCCCTAAGTTACTGGTAGTTTGGATGTTCAAGGATGTCATATTTTTTCTTTGCCAACCATTAAATTTTATATCTGCCATTAAGTGAAAGCCTCCACTCAGAGATCAAAAGAAAAACGAAAGCAGTCTGGCACTAGAAATAGTATGCCCTTATTCCCTAAAAAGAGATGTACTTTGATTCTTCCACAGTGAACTAGCATGTGTGGATGCTGTCTGACCCGGGCACATCACCTGGGAGGTACTGAGCCCAGGAACGCAAGTCTGCAATCAGGCCCTCCTAGAAGTACTGTGGTGCTTCCTTTGTACATGCTCTGAGAACTAGTAGTTCCCTTCTTGGGTCAGATTCTTCACATAACAGATGAAGTTAGTAGTTCTTTACCTAGTGAGGGGCATGTGAAGTGCTTACTTTATGAAAAGAAATTGTACTCTTCCACCCCATACTAGTTATGACACATGTGGGACCCAAAAACACAGCAATAATATTCCTTCTCTGACCATCTTGTGTTGCCTTTGAGGCTGTGGGAACAGAAGTCCTTTCTTAGATGCTCAACCTCTTCTAGGATGTTGTGGATGGGACCATTTGAAGGAGCATGTCTTGAGCTAGAGGGAAGTACTCCATAGTCAGTCTGACCACTAGCAGTATGAAATGTATCTTGGGGGTTTCAAACACTTACAATAGTCCAAGGACTTTTCTAGATAGTATGTGAACCTTTTGCTAAATTAATATGGACTATAGTCATCCCAGGAATTTACTAGCACTTTATGCTTTAAAAATGATGTAGTGATTACTGTATATGGGTAAACCAGTCTAAAAACCTGTATTTTGTCAGAGAAATCCTCTGGAGAAAAAACAGGATAAGAGAAGGACTGCTAAAAGTGATGGGTACAGAGAAGAGAGTTCAGGGGAACATCTCATTAAAAAGTGCCTTTGAGCTGAGCACTGATGGCTCACGCCTGTAGTAATAGCTACTTGAGAGGTTGAAACTGGGAGGATCAAGGTTTGAGGTCAACCAGGACAGAAACATTTGTTAGAACCCTTGTCAACTCAAAGCTGGGTGCAGAGGTGTACACTTGTCATTCTAAACTACATGGGAGGCTGTGGTTGGGAGAATCAAGGTTCCAGGCCAGCCAGGGGAAGAAAAGACAGTAAAGACTCATTCCCGCCGGGCGCTGGTGGCTCACGCCTGTAATCCTAGCTACTCAGGAGGCTGAGATCTGAGGATCTCTGTTCAAAGCCAGCCCGGGCAGGAGAGACCGTGAAACTCCTATCTCCAATAAACCACCAGAAAACCGGAAGTGGCGCTGTAGCTCAAGTGGTAGAGCGCTCACCTTGAACTGAAGAGCTGAG